TCGACAGCTGCAACACCGCAACCCTAAACTGCTAAATTCTTCGTGGTCCTAACCCCTTAACCCCAAAACCCTGAGGCCCCCGAACGGCTAAACCCGAAGTCCCCAAGCCCCAAAACCCGCAAGCCGCGGAAACGTAAGCCCTGAACCATCGAACGCCCCTCCCCCTTAAGCCACTTCTAGAAACTTCTAGAAACCGTCCTCTACCCTTGTGCGCCCGCCGAATATGCTAAGCGGGGGCCCTAAGGAGTCGCAGAAGGCCAAAAGAGGCTGCGCTCGAAGCAAGGCCAAACCTGCAATGGGGCGGTGCGCGCGCGCGCGCGCGTGTATGTGTGTGTGTTGTGTTTTTGTGGGGCTGTATTTGGGTTGTCGAAGGTTTCTTGAAAGTTGGATCGGATTCCTTTTTGGGTGCTCATGTTGAGCCAAGTGGGGGTCACAGAGAGGCAGAGTTCCAGGGTTCAGGGTCTGGACGTCGTTTGGCACTGGCGTAGTGCAGTGTCCGAGCGAAGGGCCCGCAACTCCGAAAGAGTGTGTCAATGTAGTGAGATCAGTCTTCCGTACTACCTATAGTCTCCATTGTAGTTCCTTTTCTGGGTTACCTTCTAGGATCCTTAATCTAAAATGGGTTAAACCAAAAAAGCAACTACAATGGCCCTAAACCCTAAACCCTAAACCCTAAACCCTAAACCCTAAACCCTAAACCCTAAACCCTAAAACCCTGTAGGTATGATCCTTTTTCATGGGAACCCTGGCCCTGATGTGATCCGTTTTTTTGTGGGCTGTGGGGACAAATGGGGGCTTCCGAAAATAGGGGACCCTAATATAGTACCCGAAATAATAGGATCCCTATTATAAGGACCCCAAAATAAGGTACCCCTAATTTTCGGAAACTCCCAAATGTCATCGCACTTATGGGGGCCGACGTATGATCTCCGTCATGGGAACCCTCGTCCCCTCCTACCACGTCTGGGGTTTGCCTATATTGTCCCTTGCACCATAACTGCAAATGCGTACTTACGAAAACGCCAATTTGCTAAAAGGTGTGTCCTCCTGAGCGGAGGAGAGGGTTTGCTAACTTGGGATTGGATGTGACTCAGCACTGTTACGAGGGCACTCATATGTGGTTTAGGGCTTTGAATTTAGGGGTTTAGGGTTTGGGGTGGGTTGAGTTCCGACATGTGCCTTCTTGGCTGTCTGAGGGCCGAGGGTTCATGCAGGTTGTCGTGTTTTCTCGGTGTCAGCAAAGTCACGGTTCCAAGACCCCATTGATTGAGGAAGGTTCTGTAAAGCACCCCGAAATCCAATTCTTTGTACCGCAATATACAAGTACCCTCTGAATCTCGAAGGATGCCTGATAATTTTGTTGGCATTCCTTGGAAGCCCATGACATGGTTGCTAGGCGTGGTGTGTTCAGCAGCTGCTGCACCTGAGCTGCGCAAAGTCCTTTCTTCGTTTGCTCTTCCTTTTGCTTTATCAGACTTTTTCATCACGCTTCAGGAGATGGGGTGTCTGGCACTACCATTTATGCTATGGTACTATACGGTATCAGGATTTTGTGGATTAACTGAGGTTGATCAAAGTGACTGAGTTTTGGGTGCTTCTGTTGACTACTGCTTTTGTTGATTGCATGAACTTCCTAAACCCGAAACCTTAAGCCCTTGCCTGATAGGCCGTCCAAAAGCATAGACAGAATGCCAGAGGCAAAGGGGGCGACAAAAAAACACCTAAGCCCTATAAGCCCCAAGCCCTATCAGCCCTAAGCCCTAAGCATCCCCAAGTCGTATAAGGGCTGAGGTACTGGGCAAGCACACGTCTCTGGATGGGGCAGGCGCTTCACGTGGACGCTGAGCTGCCCGGCTGCGCAGAGTCTAGCGGCCTCACTCATTGGGATCATTGTTTTCTTTTGGGGGGGGGAATTATATTTAAAAGCATAGCAAAGGGTATTGGAGGGAGGGTAAGTGTAACTTGTATTATACATATTATTAATGAAATTTTGGAGGTAAACATAGTATTTTAAAAGTATAGCAATGCATATTTGGGGGGTAATAGTAACTTGTACTATACATATAATTAATCAGGTTTTGGGCGTGATCATATTCAGTTACAAGTCTAGCAATGCGGATTTTCGGGGGGTACTTGTAGCTTGTATTATACATATAATCAGGAATCCTAACAGGCTTCTATATGGGGGTTTCCGAAAATAGGGGACCTTAATACAGTACCCTAAATAGTAGGATCCTTATTATACGGACCCCAAAATAAGGGGCCCTTATTTTCGGAAACTCCCATATATCAGTCGGATCCAGCCTGCGTTGCAGTTGAGGGCGAGCAGCGGCCACGCGACTGTGTTGCCTGCGTTTCAGTCTCAGAAAGGGCGGAAACTGTTCATCGTCCATCGTAAGTTTCTGTCAAGGTTTTTCGGCCGCCTACGCGAAAGTGTGGAGGCGAGGAATTGGCGAAATGAGTTGAAGTTTGCTATTGTGATGGCCGCATGTCATGTGCGTCGTTGCAGTGCTCGGACTGCAAGCTGTCACGGTGTCGAGAAGCCCGCAAAGGCCATCTGGGCAGAGCAGAGAACCCCACGAAGCCAGCTGGCGAAGCTGGCTACGCAGATGGCGCCGGGCACCCTGCGCAGGGCTTCGTTGGCTGTTGCGGATTGATATGCCTGCTACTATTCGGTCTTTGCAGTTTTCAGGTGATGGATTGAAACCAAAATCACTGAATCCGAAGCATTGCGGCGCGGAGGCTTCCCACTCACTCTGCGGAGTCTCAAAATCTCGAAGATCCCGTACATGCTCCGGATGCGTTATTTCTGCCCCGAAACTTCCCCCAAGCAGCATGCATCTCGCAAGACGGAGTTTGAAATCCAACGTTGCGGACGTTTGCAGCTTGCTACCGCCTCGGTGCTCAAAGTCGCCCAAACCTCGGAGAAAGCCTTAAACCAGAGACTCCAATACCCCTTAGTTAAGGAATATACCTTAAATCGTATGAGGGATCCTACTATAATTTAAGGTATGTTCCTTCATTCAGGGGTATTAGCCCTAAACCCTAAACCCTAAACCCTAAACCCTAAACCGTGGATAGTATTAGAGTCTCTGGGAACTGCCCTGAAGCCGAGACCGAGACCAGGTGGCTGACGACCACGCCGGACTTGGCCCTGAACCCCACGGCCTTCCAGGCCTCACAAAAGCGGGGGGGGGGGGGGGGG